CAGCAGCAGCTGTGATGAAGTCCTGGAGGGTTGTGACCCTTAAATCCAAATTATTAAATGAAATATAGTCTTTAAGCCCAACGCTGGTCTACAAAGCCCGGCCCTCTTCCCCTTAGACAAGCTTTCTAATGATGGATGTTGGACATCTGGGCCTCCTACACTTAAGAGACATTGAAATACAAAGGGTGGGTCGGAAATCCATGCACCTACTTCCCTCTCCTCCCTGGAACTTGCTGTTGCATCTGATGGCCTGGGGATGCCTCTGTTCATCTCTTCTGCTGTTCCTTCAGACCTGGAGTCCAGGCTCAGTAGCTGAGCTGATCATGGGAGGCTGCAGCTGGTTTCTGGCCCTGCAGAGGCTGAAGCAGCAAAGGTAGCCTGACTGGGTTACATGAATTGTTCCAGGGGCCCTGTGGATACACCCATGAGCAGCACCCAAAGCCAGGATAAGGACAAACAGGGAAAATGCTGTAGCTTCCTAGCCCAGATTGCTCCTCGCAGGGCACTTCCCCACTTGTAGACACGCAGCAGTCAGTTCTGCTGTGCTTAGCAAAGGGAAAGGCTTCACTAGACGCATTTGATCCATATATTTTTGAAGTGCTTGAAAACCTTTGAAAGGCCTGAGGCCAAGTCATCTCTGACGGGATGGTCCTTCCTCTAAAGCACAGGAGTTAGGTACAAAAGCCCAATTCCTGGGGCAGTGCAGGCCTGTGCCCCCCAGGAACCATGGCAGAGGTGGCTCTCGGGGGAGCACAGGTGTTCTGCACAGGGGCTCTGGGCCCACGCGATGCTGATGTAGAGCCTGCATGCAGCCAAGCGCTTGGTGAGAGTATCCCAGAGGTGTGAAGGGTGACTTTCCTCCTGTTTTGAAAGTCTCTGCTGAAGCAGACTGAGTAACCTGCTAATCCCAGGCATCAGGAGGAGTTCATAGGCCCCAGCTGTCAAGCCTGTCCCTATGTAAGGTTTGCACAAGGGAAAAGCTCATGCACAAAAAAACCACTGAAACTTCTGGCTCAGTACCCAGGGGACTTTACTCTCTGAAGCACAAGGAAACCACAGACACCGTGAACCTTTTGTTTCGACGCATTATAAGCTGGCAGGAGAGCCTCTTTCTCTACCCTAACTATATCCTTAGTACCATGCCCTCACCGTACAACCCCCGGCAGCTGTCCTCTGGCAGCAGTTGTCCAGACATTTTACAGAGGTACCTAGACAGTGATGGAAGAGCGCTGCTCCTCTTTCCACTCCACAACCCACTCAACAGTGATGGTCCTGCTGGGATAGCACCATCAGGGAATGGTAAACATAGACAAGTCCTGAACAGCATACTTACCCAAGGCAAGAAATGTTAAGCAATGTTTCTGTGTCCCCATTGTTTTCCTAACTCAAAGCATTTCCTTTGTTGTAACTGTGACCTATAAAGTGGCTCTTTAGAGGGTTTTATAATAAAATGTTGAGTATATTATGTTACCAGTGTATTTTATTTGTAATGATATGGCTTATCCTTGCTTTACTTTCCAGTAGGTTTCAAGCACATCAAAACCCAATGTTACTTCAGCAGTCCTTAGCTGTGTGTTCAACAATTGCAATGGACTGTATTTTAAATACTTCAGTCTGCTTGTAACACGAGTGCAACACCAGCCAAAAACTTTTGGCCCAGATTACCCACGGAAAATAGCCATAACCCTGGTAGTGTGCATGAATGCATGCGTAACATGCTCTTGCCTACATCTTAGTAGACAGCCCTCTTACAGAAAACCAGCAGACAAGGAAAATGCATCTACCACCTCATTCTGTCCACTAGGTAGCAACTTTGTGCTATGTTTAGTGCTTGCTGCAATTGCTGAAGGGAAAGTCAGGAAGCGCTCTAGCGGGAAAGGAAGGAAATATGTTAGTAAGGAAAGTTGCGGAGGCCAGTCTTCACAGAACAGACACCGAAACATATCCGTATATGCATTTGTGAGATCTTTTGGTGGCTATACCACTACCACCACTCCCGAGAAAACTCAGCAAGGCATCGCAGGCACAGCACAAAGTCCTAGGGCAAGTTTGTTTCTTTGTTCATCTATTAACCGCAAATTGCCCTCTGTGCCTAGGACTCCCAAAAGCATGACCAAACCGGGGGTGGTGGGGTGTGGGGGGGGTGTATCTATGTCTGTGTGTCTCGTGTGTGTGTTTGTCTGTCTGTCTGTGTATTTTTTGCAGCAGCAGTTGCACTTGTCTTTCCAGAGCAATTCTTTGCCTCTGCCTGTTTTTTTTTCAATGCCTCTGTAACTGCTCCAGTCCCCCCCCCCACCCCCCCCAACCAAGCACACCGCTGGTTTTCAGAGCCCTATAATGAGTACAACTGCCAAGAACCAAGAGCCAGGACAAACTCAAGGGCTAGCTCACCTGAGCACCCCAGTTCTTGAGCAACCCTACAACAGCTGCTGGCATAGCCCACCTTCCTATTTAGTGCGTCAAAGTGGGCATTTTGGTTTTTAAATAATAATATAATTAAAAAGTGCCAGATTTAACAAACAAACAACAAAAAAAGAACTCTCTCCTGTTTAAGGTGAATAGGCAAGGGTGACCTAAAGGTGTACACATATACACACCTACCCACACCCACGCTGTGGAGACTAAGTTCTGCAGGCATTTTGCAAGGTAAAGGAGCCAGTCAGCTCTAAGGAGTGCGACAGCAGACTTGGCGCCGGCGCCAGCCCCAGCTCTCGGCTGCCCCAGGAGTCTGCTGCAGCAGGCGCCAAAGCCCAGCTTCTCCCCCCTCCCCGGCCCCCCCCAGCAGCCTTTGCATACTGGCATTGAACAAGTTCACTAGCCCCAAAAGGGTAACATTTTGCTTGCTTTGCATAAGAAACTCAAGAGCAGAGAGACGATTAAAGGGTAAAGCAGGTGAAATTTATGGCGCATGCTTAAATTCCAGTTTCTTAACCGAGACCGCGGTGCTCCCCTGAGGTCCGCACGTGACGCGGGGCGAGCCAACGGCTCATCCAGCGCTCCTACAGTGAGAGCAAGTCACAAGTCCGTTCGTTACAGCGACCCAGTGGCTAACGCTGACCTGTGCGAGCCTGGCAGCACCCCACAGCCTCGCTGCCTCCGCTCGCCCCGCTGCCGGACTGGATTAGCGCTGCCTTTGCGGGAACCCCCACCTTCTGCCTCGCGGTGCCAGGCACAAACATCGCCCCAGCCTCCAGGGAATGCGCGCCCTCAGACATGGCCTCATTAAATATTTGTGATTGAATAAAGAGTGTGAGCTTACTAAGGCTCACCGTGGTGCCCTAAGCCACTTTCTATTCTTTTGTAATTAAAATTGGCAGTTGAAATGACCAAGAAATTCGCCAGGGTCGTCTACTCATTTTTTTTAAAAAGAAAAAAGGTAAGAAAGAAAGAAAACAGGAAACTGCCACTGAGCTGGGCAGACACACATCATAGGCAGAAACTCAAACCTTGTAGTATACTAGTTCCCTGGCCTGGTCTCTCCTGGGGAAGAGGAGGAACCCCTGGTCCCACAAGTCATTTCCTTCATGCTAAAACCAGGCATTGCTCACAGCTCTTTAGTGTCCTGCTTTAGCGAGTCCCTGGCATAAAGTTATTTACGGCAGTGCCCTCAGTGGGGGGGGCCCCCCCATCCTTTTCATTGCACGACAACCATCTGGTTTCTCCTTTTCTACTGCAGGTCGTTCTTGAACGTCGGCCGCGTGGCAGGGGCTGGGAGGGGAGCTGCGCTCCCCGCC